ACAAAGCAAATGGTTCGTCAGGGTATTTCTGTGCGTGGTAAAAGCAATATTTCTTTTGTGGTTTCCCAAAATACACGACGAGAATCTATTGGACACTACAATTGTGAAAACGTCCAGGGTATGGAGTTGGAGGATGAGAATCCATATGCAATGATAAGACCAGGAAGTCAAGCATCAGAACGAAGCAGACGCCCAAGAGGACATCAGACGGTACTAGGGGGGCCACGACAAGGAAGAAGAAATCGACAAATACTGCCATCTTCTGCAGCGCAAGAGGCATCTGTGCGTGAAGAGTATGATCAACCAGAGGTTCAAGGAAATATCCCATCAGCAGATTTCGATCATCATATGAACCTAACTGAGTCATTTAATTATAACAGACCGTTACCGCGATCTCCCTATCGTTTGGGCGCACACACTGCCAATGCAGATGGAGGGTCATCTCGTTCAACCTTCGTGGAGAAACTAAAATCTTCATACAGTAACATACCTTCATTTTCTCATTGGAAGCGACGAAACGCTAAGGACGAGTTAATGGTTGGTTTCGTCGGTGCTGGGTACTACACCGCACTCACATTGGGAGCTTTCGCTGATCTGGGCTACTACAGAGTTAATTGGGCAATGGCAGAGCAGATGAGTTGGGGCAATAAAGCTGGTTGTGAATTTTTGAATGATAAATGTGTGAAGGAAGGCAGTACTAAATTCCCTGATATGTTCTGCACAACCGAATCCACAGATGGTACTGATTCACTACAGTGCACATCTGACCGCCAGTCGATGGGGAGATGCGGCATTCAAACCTATGAGAGGGACCTTGAGGGACAGTTCCAATACTTTTCTGACGCAATGACAGGAGGTGAAAGGGCGTCTCAAATGGATTATTGCCCTTTTATTACAGCAGAGTCAGGTTTCAGTTGCATCAATGGGGAGCAGAGTGATAATATGCCTGGAAGTTTAATTGCTGCCAACTCACGTTGTGTACAGGGGGAGAATCTGATCGCTGACGATACAGCTGTTGGTGCCGTGTGTGTGGAAGTGTCTTGCAAGTTCAAAGTGGTAAGTGTGCGGTACAGTGGAAACATTGAGTGGCACAGTTGTTATGAAGGGGAAACCCTAACTGTGAACAGCGGTGCACTACAAGGTAAAATTGTGTGCCCCAAATACGCTGATGTGTGCAATACAATCAACAGAAAGGTGGATGAATCCCAGGGTCCACGAACACGAGCAGCGATAATGGGGGTTCGTGGTAATGATGGGAACACTGATGGTAGTGTGACTGCTGCTATTTTTGCGCCACTTTTGTTCATTTTCTTGGCCGTGTCTACAATAATGGCTCCATGAGCTCTGGCTCTTATTTACATATGTGTGGAGTGAGATGATGTGTGCTTTTGTTTTAATTTCTGTACATCAGTTTAATTCTCGTTTGGAATTAATTAAATTGCTTAATTGAATTACATGTGATCCCACGCCTGTTTTTTGCTCGATATCATTGGAATGTTCTGTATTACTTGATAACAATGACTGCATGAACAGACGTTGGTGAATCATATGAATTTTTCTCTTGTTTTAATTTCTGCACATCACTTTAATTTTCTTTGGGCTATAATTAAATTGCTTTTTTTTTAATATATGTGATCCCTCGTCTGTTCTTGCTTAACCTCATTGTGATGTTATGTATTACTTGATAACAATGACTGCATGAACAGACGTTGGTGAATCATATGAAATTTGTTTTCTTTATTTGTGTTTGTGGAGGATAGTAGGAGAATCAAGGGGTTTTGAACCATTGCTTTTCTTTCTTTTAATGAGTGTTCTTCTTGGGTGGAATACACACTGGTAAATGATCTTTTTCTTCTTGCAACACGTGCCGGGCTGAACCCTAAATACTTACTGCTGAGGCTTTGGAACCACGGGGAGCAGCTGCTGGAGTGCGTGGGTTTTCTTTTTTTCTTTTCTACTTTTATGGGTAATAATATAATGGAGTGATGTGGCGTGGAGTGTCTACAGCAGTTCTGGATGTTTCGTACTCCGCCCTCACCATTCTCTGTTATTCATTTCCTTTTATTATTATTCTTGTTGTTGGTTATGGTGTGGCCTGTGTTCTTGCCCACTGGTTGGTGCAGTGGAGATTCTCTCTCTCTCTCTCTCTCTTTCCCTTTCTCTGCTTAGTTTCTTTCTCTGTAGGGTTCCCTTAGTGTATGCTGTTACTGNGTCTCTTCTTGTTTGCTCCGTTGCTCCTTCTGTACTGCACCCTTGTCACTCTTGCTGTGACAGAGCACCACCGCTGCATGCACGATACTGTTGCTATGCGTGTTGGTGTTGGTTCTACCGTTGAGTCTGACGAGGAAATAACAAAAAAAAGGGAAGCTCAACAAACTCTATTTTCTTCCAATAATCAACCAACTCCTGCAGGCAGAGAAGAACCAGTTGGGGAAGGTTGGGGACCGATTCGCATTAAACTTGTCACTGATAATTTGGAAAAGGCTGGACATGATTGTACTGGCAAAGAAACCAATAGAATTACAACCTTATTAAAGGAATATTTTACTTGCACAGAAAATGATGTCTTGACAGAAGAGAAAAAGAAAATTCTTGTGGATGAGATTCTCCCTGAGGCAATTAAACTGCACGAGCAACGCCTTTTTGTTCAGCCTTTGAAGGGTCCTATTGTCGTACCGAATTTCTCTGATGAGAATCTTTGTTCCCAGTTCATTCCAACAACTGCTGAAAGTACTCCTATTTCCGATTATGATATGGTGCTGTACGTTGCTGCTACACCGACGCCTGAAGGGACTTTTGCGTGGGCGGCAACATGTGCGATATTAAGTTCTAATGGCCGTCCAGTTATTGGGATCATTAATTACGGTCCACGGTATATTGTGGCCACACCACAGCGTGTCCGCGTTGCTGCTCATGAGATTGCCCATGCACTTGGATTCAGTTTCTCTGAGATGGAAAGGAAAAATATGTTGCCGATCTGGAACAATAGCTACAACCGCTTTGATGTACCGCTTGTTAATTCTTCAAATGTACTGAGAGAAACCAAAAATCATTATAACTGCAATTCTGCGGAGGGTATGAAGATACAAAATGAACTGTTTTTTATGCAGCTGAAGAGCAATATGGCGGCGCAAACTGTAAGTTTGGAAAGTCCATTACGATCTTCTTTACTGTCAGCAGTGCAAGCGGAATTTACTGAAGAAGAGCGCTCAATGGAAGGTGCTGAGCCACACATGGGAGAAAATCATTTAAGAAACGCAGATACTCATAGTACGTCGGAAATAACAAGTGGGTCATCAAATTTACGTGGAAACAGAAATTCATATCTTCTTAAATCTGCAACGAAGGCAAGCAACATCGCTGGACTTACCACATCGTTCCCCCAAAAAATGAATGAAAGAATAGAAGAGGTGCAAAAGAGAAGAGTTCCGCCACGTTATATAATCACGCTCCCATCTTCTCACTGGAGTCGTCGTATTGCAAAGGATGAGTTGATGGTTGGTCTCGTCGGTGCTGGGTACTACACCGCAATTACAATGGGAGCTTTCGCTGATCTGGGCTACTAAGTTAATTGGACAATGGCAGAGCAGATGAGTTGGGGCAATAACTCTAACTGTGAATTCTTAAATAAAAAGTGCGTTAACAACGGGGAAACGAAGTTCCCCGATATGTTCTGCACAACCAAGAGCGGTGATAACCCTAACATTCCTGCAGGATTACAGTGCACATCTGACCGCCAGTCATTGGGCACTTGCAGCAGCATTGAAGCAAAAAAAACAGTTGATAATCTTGCAGAGCATTTTCAATATTTTTCAGAGAACAATAAGGTTGGTTCAGAAGAATCTGAACAAATGGATTATTGTCCTATTATTATGGCAAAGAAAGGTTACAGTTGCATCAATGGTGAGCAGAGAAATAAAATGCCTGGAAGTTTAATTGTTAACAACTCACGTTGTGTGGAGGGTAATGAACTAAAGACTATCAAAGATGAAGCAGCAGTTGGTGCCGTGTGTGTGGAGGTGTCTTGCAAGTTCAACAAGGTAATTGTGCGATACAGTGGAAACGATAAGTGGCACAGTTGTCCTGAAGGAAAAAATCTAACTGTGAATGGGAGTGTACTGAAAGGTGAAATTGTGTGCCCCAAATACGCTGATGTGTGCAATACAATCAACAAAACTCTGGATGAATTACAAGGTCCACAAAAAGACCCAGACCCTGTTAAAGAAGTCCAAACAAGTCAACCAGAAGTCACTGAGACCACTGGAACACCCAAACCAACTGAAAATGCTGGTAACCAGGGAGTTACTTCACCGGTGGTACAAAATGAGGCAATTACGACCACAGAATCAAAACCCAGTGAAACTAAGGAAGGAAGAATTACCTCATCTGTGAGTGGGCAGAATAATAATAGTACTGCGAAAAAAGGCGCTGATGGTTCTTTTAAAGCTTCTCTTTTCGCGAGTGTTATGTTTGTTTTCTTGACACTCTCTATGATAATGTTGCCATGAGCTCAGTCTCTTATATACATTTGTGTGGAATGCGATAATTCGTTTTCTTTTTTTTTGTTTCTACACATCACTTTAATTTCTTTGGGCTTTAATTAAATTGCTTTATTGAGTTATATATGATGCCTTGCCTGTTTTTAATCAATGTCATTGTGATGTGCCGTATTTACTTGATAACAATGACTGCATGAACAGACGTTGCTGAATCATATGAAATTTGTTTTTTTTCGTGTGTGTGTGTGTGTATGTTAACAGGGAAAACAAGGGGTTTTAAAGCATTGCTTTTCCTTCTTTTAATGAGTGTTCTTTTTGGGTGAAATACACACTGGTAAATGATCTTTTTCTTTTTGCAACACGTGCCGGGCTGAACCCTAAACACTTACTGTTGAGGCTTTGGAACCACGGGGAGCAGCTGCTGGGGTGCGTGGGTTTTCTTTTTTTCTTTTCTACTTTTATGGGTAATAATATA